TCTTACTTATGCCCCCCTACCCTCTCTCTCTCTCTCTCTCTCTCTCTCCAATTCGATACGATTTCCCGCAGCAAGTTAGTTACCCTTAAGGATAGCCGTCCTTGCCCCACTTGTTGTACTTGTCGTGGAACTCCTGGGTGAGGGTAACGTTGGGGACGACGACGGTGTTGACGGCCGAGGGCGCGTCGCGCGGCTCGGCGCTGGGGTCGCCGCCGGGCTGGTACTTGTACTTGGCGTGGTCGCCAGACTCCCACGGCGCGCTGCCCTTGGTGACGTGCACGCTGGACTCGGAGGTGGACGAGGTAGGGTTACGGCCTGGATTGTCGAACAAAAAAAGCGCGCACTGATTAGCTTTGGTCGTTTTTTTTTGTTTTCGCCGCAATTGCCACACTCGCTCAAGGAAGGGGGGGAGGGGAGGAGGAGGAGGAGGAAGCTCTTACCAAAGTAGAAGCCGGCACCACCGAGAGCAGCGACCATGACACCACCGAGGATCTGCAATTTCGTACGTTAGCTCTCCATCTTCCTTGACATTTCTCTACCGATGAAACCAATTGAGCTTATAGATGCCCGTTGCGCTCATGTGCCGGTAGTAGTTGAGAGTTGTCAATTGGGGCGTAAGTCGTTCTTGTTCCTCAATCGGGCCAAGGCGGGAGGAAAAAAAGGTAACGCACCATTGTCTCGGGGTTGCGCTTCGACTCGGCTTTGAGGTTCTGCTCCGCCATGCGGCGAGTAGTGGTGGAAAACAGGCGACGGGTGACGTTGGAAGCCATTGTTGCTGGGCGGTTCTGGTCCTGTCTCTTTCTTGTGTGTGTTGCGGTGTTTGGGGATGGAGGAGGAAAATGACGTTGTCGACAGAAAGCTCGAGGGCCCCAAAATTGCTTAGCACGCTCTAACTAACCGGCTGGGCTCATTGGTTGCTTGTGGTTTTGCGCTGCTACGCGGGAAGCTCCAACGAATCACGTGCACGGAAATCAGGTCATTGTGTAGAATCCGGGTCATACCGGCTATCTGGATAATCATGCATAGATACTGTGTAAGAATCAGCAGCAGGAATTTTGGACGTAAACTTCTTTTTCTTCTGCCAAAACAAAAGTCATTGACAAGAATTCATTTGCATGGAAAGAACCAGATTCCCACAATGTCGATTAGGGGGCCATTACTATCGCAATCATACACCTCACAAAAGGCATCATAATTAGTGACCATTTACGTGGTAGCTGATTACTATTACTGGACATTAATCTGTACCGCCTAATTAGTCTAGATCAACACGTACACGCGCACCATCTTGATCGTTCGGGTATTCTATCAGTACATCGTGCGGTAAAAAGATGCTCGATTGATGGTAAATAAATGAAGAAGCGATGGTGCCAAGAACAAAAACGCTGGCTCAACGAATGAAGACCAATGTCAGGCCCGTTCGAGTGGAAAAATAAGGAATAGGTGAAATGTAAAGAATGACCATGATTATTGGCGGCTCTCGCCACGGAGAGTGACTGGCCCCTGGAAGCCTTGCGCGTCGCCTTGGACAGCGTTTAGCTCCATCCCCTGAGAGTTTTGACGGGGACGCAGATCACGGCGCATGCCTAGGCGCTGATCGCCGTGTTGATAGTTGCCCTTGAAAGTGTAGTAACTTGGGCCTCGTGGGCGGCAGAGTACTGCAATGAAATTTTTGAATAGGTTGCCCTGGCTAAAAGGCCGATAGCGCTCCTTCTTGTCAAACTTGTGCGAGTTGACATATTCTCTCGTTGTCTCGCCGCGGGCGATCCAAAAGACATGGTAGACAAGCAAAGCAAACGGATAGCAAAATGCCAAGGCGGCGATGATGACCAGAGCAAAAGGGGCTCTAAAATGGTCAATGGCTTTGCTAAAGGTGATGTTTTCGCGGCTGCGGTAAATGAGGATCTGAGCCAGGCTGGTGCCAATGAAGAATAACGAAAGAATAGTTCCGCTCGTGATGAAAGCGAAAAAGTACTTGTAATTGCGCTTGCCAACGCAGTTATTGAGCCAGACGCAGTGGTGATCGTGTGTCTCAATGCAGTTGTCACATAGTCGGCAGTGATGAGCACGCGGCGGACGCCAGATGTTGCAGGTGCGACAGTGCTTCACTGGAACCTCCATGGCAGCAGCAGACGGTTCTGCCGACTTTACGAGAGTCCAATCGTTTGTTGGCGGCCCCAGCTGCAAAGGATCGTCACCATCTCCCAGAGGAGGGAATTGGTGCAGGTTTCGCGGCAGAATCTAGATTCATTAGCATTGAATACGTTGCGAGACGAGTTTGAGCAAGCACATACGCCAGGATCCGAGACGGATGCGTGGATAAATGAAGAGAAGCAGAGAAAGCTGAGGTATGCGCAGACAATAGGCAGCGCCGGCGAAATGTTGTGCCAGAGCCACGAGGCTTCGCATACAAAGAAGAGGATGCAGGGAACGAGTACAAATATGCCAGTGGCGATGTTCATGGGCCTGTGCCTGGTATTTTGCCATCTGCCACCCAGGCAGAAGACAGTATTGCCCTCAAAATACTGATAGACCCAGCCAAGTCTGCCGTCATCACGCTCAGTCTTTTGGGTCGCACCCGTGACAGGCCGGCCTTGCGAGTCGACCGGATGCAGTCGGGGAGAGGAAGCGTTCGAATACAGCTTCTCAGCGCCGTTGGTACCGCGGTGTCGGCCTGTGCTAACATCACTTCTGCGACCCAGACGGAAACTAGAACGAAACGAACGAGTAGACTTTTCGGCTACCGGAGAGGCCGGTTGCTCATGTGTGCTATTTTGGCGCTTCTGAAGCGGCCGCACGCTATCGGTCAAGCTATCGGTTGCGACATGGCCTGTTGTAGGGGTGGCGTTGGCTGTCAGGCGATCAAGGGTTTCTCGATCTGCAATTGCGGCGCGACCAGATTGGGGCCGGACGTCAGAGGGTGTCTTGCGATGCATTGCAGGGTTTCCGATGGTAGAAGCACCGGCATCTGTCATGCCGTCGTCCAGATTTTCGAGTTCGGGCGGAGGCTGGAGTGTAGCGGCAGGACGAGCAGCAGCAGCCCTCTGTGCTTGGAGCTTTTGCGAGCTCATGGGCCGGAAAAAGGCATTCGAAGTAAGCGAGGGGACATGGCTTCGATTCGTGGTGGGCGCAGGCGCGGTTGGCCGTGCCTTGCCAGACTGCTTGTGTTGACGAGTCGCTATCGGTGGGTATTTGGTTCGTGAAGACCCGGCAGCGCCGGTTCTGGGGGTGCGGTTCTTGGATTCCTTGATGGAGGATCGGCCATCGTCGGTACCGACATCGGTCATTCGCGAGGATACAATGCTAGCGGGACGCGCATGCTGAGCGGTGGTGTCTTGTGGTGCAGGAAAACTGCTCTGGTCGTGCGGCGAGGTAGGCCGTTCGAAGATAGGCCGCGAGGCCATGGCTATGGTGAGGTAACGACTTGATGATCAAGCGTCACGCAATGACATGTCGATACCGGATGGTGAATGCGCGAAGGCGAGAAATAGAATTGTAATAAACAGCAGACTGGTTGCAGGATGGCGCGTGTTGGTAGGGAAATTACTCTCCGGGGGCCAAGAGGCGTGGAAGTGACGAAGGAGCGGCGTTGGCGGAAACGAAGTAGGAAATCAGGCGTTGAGTGGAAAAGACGAGAGAATGACAATGAGTGGTTGATTTGGTCCCGAGGGAGTAACGAGGAAGCGGAGAAGACGGCGACAGTGACGGCTGCACCCAGGACTCGAGACAGAGGGCGAGAATGAAGATTGACAAAGCGGGCTTGCTTCTTTTGCTGATTTGTCGGGGTTCCCGTTAAATTAGCAACGGCGCTCCACACTGACCACCTCGCTCTTGGTGGCTGGGATAAGGGGACGAGAGTCCAAGCGCCGCAGCAGTCGCAAGGGAGGATAGTTTTGTGAGGACAAGAATTTGTGTGGGTTGCGATTCAGATGTTAAGACAAAGATTATCTGCCTGCCTCAGTAGCAACGCGGCGAAGCTGAAGTTTGCAGATGTCGTGCAGTAGTGTAACAATGAGGACCGTAGTGTGCAAATGGCACCTACCAGTGTGCAAGGTAGGTAGGATTGCGTGTTGGTACATGACGGAGAACAAGCCAGAGTAAAAAAGGTAAATAATCCAGAGCATTCCAATTTGTCCAAACTACGGGTGTTGTCAAATATCAATGCCGTGCTTTAATTCCCCTCTTCTGATACTTGAGCAATGGGGATGACAAATGCTAGGTACTTACAGCCCCAGGGCTAGGTAGAATCCATTGCCGACGACTGACAACGACTCTTGATTTGGATCTTGCTCTACCAATGTTTAACAAGCCGGAACACTTTTGCTTGACCTCGCGCGCAGATTTTGCTGTTTCAACATCTCACGACGACACCAACCTACCTACCTAGAGTGCCAAAGTGCCTAGGTATCTACCTAGGTATGGTGGTGTTGCATGGCGACGCTGTGGTTGGGCCGCGGGTAAGGCGCTGTGACAATGAGCTAGCGTCGGGCTACAGTGGTTACAGTGGCTAAAGTGGGGCCGCAGCAGCCATGTGAAAAAAAGAAAAGCAGAGTTTGAAAAAGATAGGTAGGTAGACTGCGGCACGCATCAAACCAACCGCGGGAAGGAAAATATTTTGATAATGGAAGGAAAAAAAAGAAAAAAAGCTCGTCATGTATTCACTTCCAATATCTTCCTCAAATAACTTGCACAACAAAGACCCCTCCTCCCCAGCCATTCATCTCCCCTGGCGGGTCACGGGCAGCTGCTGACTCTGGGCCCCTCCGATAAGATAAAGAAAAATTATTCTGCCGCAGTTATGCTACACCCGTAGTAAAGTAAAACCACTGCGCTTTTTCCCTGCCACGCAACCTTTTCTCCTTATCCATATCCTCCGTCCCAGTTCTTACGCGCGCATTTCACGGCGCAGCGTCTCGAGACTTCCTCCATCTTGTAGTCTGGGAATACAAGGGAACGTCTATACGATACACAACATGCCTCATCCCGTCTCCCCCCCGTCTCTTCCGACGGCCATCTCTAAGGCTGCCCCTCCCCCACCTTCACAGCAAGATGTTACGGCTTTTCTCGACACCATCTTCACCGCGCAGTCCTCCAACGTCTGCATAGACGCCTGCTATGCGCTCTGCGAACTGCTCCTCAACTCGGTTGGTGTTGTCGGCCTCAACCACTATGGCATCATTGCCGAAATCAAAAAGGCCGCCAACGATAAGAAGAGCGGCGTCCGCCGCGAGTCCAGCCAAAATCTTCTCGGCGCCATCTTCGAGCGGTTTCCACCCCGACAGCCTATAAGTCAGGTCGTTCTCCTCAACCCTACCGATGGCCTTGTCGCCTGCGCCCTCGACGCTCTTGCCGACAAGGGTGCCGTCGTTCGCGAGGCTGCGCAGTATGGCCTCGACGCCCTCTTCAACAGCCTCTGTGCCGAGAGCCTCGTCTCTGGTCTTCTTCCTGTTCTGACTACTTACCTCTCCAAGAAGACTGGTAAGTGGCAGGGTACTGTCGGTGCCTACAAGCTCCTCCAGAGAATGGCCGACAAGTCCAAGTACACTGTCGGCACCACCAAGGAGGAGGCTGCTGAGAAGGATGTTCTCCGCGAGGCCATGGGTGCCAAGCTCGCCTCTCTCATCCCCGTTGTCGAGGAGGGTATGCACGACCTCAAGGCCGAGGTTGAAAAGCAGGCTGTCCAAACCATGAACTCTCTCACCGGGCTCCTCTCCAATGACGATGTTGCCCCTCGTATTCCGCTCCTTATCGACACCATGCAGCATCCTTCGACTCAGACGCTGCAAAAGGCCATCCACGCTCTTTCTCAAACCACCTTCGTCGCCATTGTCACATCGCCCGTTCTTGCGCTGCTTACTCCCTTCCTGGAGCGTAGTCTGAACAACCCCAACACTGCTCAGGAAATCTTGCGCCAGACTGTCGTCATTGTTGAAAACCTCACCAAGCTTGTCCACGACCCCATCGAGGCCCGCACTTTCCTTCCCAAGCTAACACCTGGTGTCAAGGGTGTTTGCGATCGCGCTTCACTCCCCGAGGTCCGTGAGCTTGCTGAGCGCGCTCTCGCTACCATGAGGAAGGCCATGGGCGAGGACAGTGACATTATTGCCCGCACCACCCCTGAAGACGTTGCCAAGGTTCTTGACGCCGAAATTCAAAAGCACGGCGGCCTCACGGGTCAGCTCGATCTGTACAAGCTGGCTCAGCCGTATATTTGTGACATGGTTGCTACTAACGCCAACTACCGCTTCGTTAGTCGCATCGCCGCTCGCATCACGCCTTACCTACACAACCTGGTCCAGGACGCGGAGGCTCCTGCTGCCATTGGTGATGCCGTCCAGAAATTCTACGTCGATGAAGACCACCGTCGATTCGGCGAGCCCGAGAAGGAGGACGACGGCGAGGTTGAGATTGTCAATGCCGACTTTTCTCTTGCCTACGGTGGTATGCTGCTGCTGTCTCACACCAACCTGCGACTTCTCAAGGGTCACCGTTATGGTCTCTGCGGGCGCAACGGCGCTGGCAAATCTACTTTGATGAGAAGTATTGCCAATGGCAAGCTTGAGGGTTTCCCTCCTCAAGATGTCCTCCGTACCTGTTACGTTGAACATAATCAGGGCGAAGATGCTGATATCAGCATTCTTGAGTTTGTCGCCAAGGACCCCGAAATCGGCCCTCAAGGCACCGAGCGCATTTCTGCAGTTCTGGAAGAGTTCGGCTTCACATCCGGTCCCGAGGGCCGCCAGGGCCAAAAAGTCGGCTCCCTTTCTGGAGGTTGGAAGATGAAGCTCGCCTTAGCCCGTGCCATGCTGCAAAAGGCTGACGTGCTGCTGCTCGACGAACCTACTAACCACTTGGATGTCACAAACATTGCCTGGCTTGAAAACTACCTCAAGTCGCATCCTGACATCACCAGCTTGATTGTCTCTCACGACTCCGGCTTCCTCGACAATGTCACGACTGATATCTACCACTACGAGCCCAACAAGAAGCTGGCCTGCTACAAGGGCAACTTGGCCAACTTTGTCAAGATCAAGCCCGAGGCCAAGAGCTACTACACCTTGTCTGCTAGCAACGTTCAGTTCAAGTTCCCGCCTCCCGGTATTCTGACCGGTGTCAAGTCGCAGACTCGCGCTATCATCCGCATGACGAATGTCTCATACGCATACCCCGGCTCTCCCAAGCCCTCTCTGTCGGACGTGTCTTGCCAGCTGACGCTTTCCTCCCGCGTTGCCATTATCGGCCCCAATGGTGCCGGCAAGTCGACGCTCATAAAGCTGCTGACTGGAGAAGCCATCCCCAACACGGGCAAAGTCGAGAAGCACCCTAACCTGCGTATCGGGTACATCAAGCAGCACGCCCTCGAACACGTCGAGATGCACTTGGAAAAGACTCCCAACCAATACCTTCAGTGGCGCTACCAGCATGGTGATGATCGTGAAGTACACATGAAGCAGAGTCGTCTCCTCTCCGAAGCCGACCGCGCTCAGCTCGACAAATGGGTGGACCTCAAGGACGGCAAGTCTAGCAGACAGATCGAGGCCCTCGTCGGTCGCCAAAAGTACAAGAAGACGTTCCAGTACGAGGTCAAGTGGCGCGGCCTGATGCCCAAGCACAACTCGCAAGTCTCGCGCGAGACGCTTCTTGAGCTAGGCTTTGACAAGCTCATTCAGGAATTCGACGACCACGAGGCGTCCCGCGAGGGTCTCGGCTACCGCGAGCTGCAGCCGTCGGTCATCTCCAAGCACTTTGAGGACCTCGGTCTGGACCCCGAAATCGCCAACCACAACGAAATTGGCTCGCTGTCGGGCGGCCAAAAGGTCAAAGTGGTCATTGCCGGCGCCATGTGGAACAACCCGCACTTGCTCGTCCTCGACGAGCCTACCAACTTTTTGGACCGCGACTCGCTCGGTGGCCTCGCAGTCGCCATCCGCGAGTTCAGGGGCGGCGTCATCCTCATCTCCCACAACGAGGAATTTGTCGGCGCCCTGTGCTCGGAGCAGTGGCACGTCCGCGACGGCCAGGTCGCCCTGCGCGGCACCGCCGCCATCAGCCTCGACCGCTTCGAGGACAGCAGCAATCCGGCCAGCGGCGTCGCCAGCGCTGTTGCCTCCACAGCTGCGTCGACGGCCGCCAACTCGGTCGTCTCGTCTGCCGTCAACTCGGGCGCCGAAGACAACTCGGACATGAAGTTCAAGGCCAAGAAGAAGCGCAAGATGACCAAGAAGGAGCTCAAGGAGCGCGAGGTCCGTCGTCGGCTGCGCCACATTGAGTGGCTCAACAGTCCCAAGGGCACGCCCCATCCTGTCGATACCGATGACGAGGATTAATTTATTTTTTTTCTTGGTGTTGACTGCCGAAGTTGCGTCTATACACAGGATCGCTGTGGAAATCCAAAGAAGCAACGGCGCTATAGCATACAGACTGGGTTTGAGTTGCTTGGACTAGGATTGGTTTACATATACGAATTATACACACGCATCTCGCCCTGCCACAGAGGCTTGCATAGAAGCAAGTCCCGCAGCGCGCGGATATGGACACGGACATGATGGATCAACAAAAGGAGGGACTAGAGCATGATACATGTTGCAACGTAAACAGATAGAGGCGTTTTGCTGAATTGTCTTTGTGTTTGGGATTGAGTTTTCTACCTGATTACGCGTCTTTGATAGAACAGATGAAAATGTCGAATTGAATGATTTAACCAGATAAGGTGATAATCTTTTAGCTGTGACAAACTCTCCAGAAAAGAGGATGAGACAATGAAGAAGAAGCAGAAGGAGCAAAAGCACAAGTTCATGTAGTCAATCATCAGCGTCCTCCGCCACCACCACGAGGGTGCACGCTTCCACAGCAGACTATGCAACATCCATTGCGCCCGTTTATGCGACCAAGTGACTGCTCAGCTCGGTAACATGCATGTGTTGCCGGTTGTGCCGTCAATCGCGATGTCCCAGAATCGCAGATAAGAATGCCAATTACAGCGAAAGGGAAACTACAATCAGTGGTGATCGTGTTGTTGCTGCTGTAGGCAAAGAGAAAACGCATGCATACCTTGCGATGCACCAATGATGACGATTGTTTTCCCCGGCGGAGATTTGACAACATTGATGCTGTCCAGAATAGGTGATTTGCCCTGAGCTACACAGCCACTGAAGCAGATATCATAGCAGAGTAACAAAAAACAATGGCAAGCGTAGGCATGTGCACCTGTGAGCAGTGGCATTTTCAAACTTGAAGCTACTGGTCAGAGGCCAACGGATGCTGGTGTTGGCACCACCAAGACTCGCAGCAGCATTTTTCTTCGGTGTCGGCGCGGACATGATAAAGTTACAGAGGTGCTGTGTCGGTGCCCGAGCCGCAATAGAATGACACCAGTCGTTCAATAACGTCCAAAGTAAAAAGTAGACTGACAATTGTGAGGGGAAATGCGCCCATCGTCGCTTACATGGGCAGCCCAAGGCAGATAGGCGAGGCAGAGAGCAGGGCAATGACAGATAAGGCTACGAACGAGATGAATAGATCAACACCGCCGGTATGGCAGTGGCAAGCTCCCAACGTGGCTGCCTAATCAGGCGCACTAGTCCTTCAACTTCGGCAGACAGGACTTTTAAAAGCGACCTCCGTACAGGCCAGTAAGTTTGCTCATAGTTTGCTACGTGAGGCAAACCTCTCTCCCAACGTCAAGTGCGCAGTTCTTCCTGTAAATATGCCTTACATGCAGGTGTGGTTGCAGTAGGTAGCGAAGCTAAACCACCGCTGTAACTCATGCTCACTTTAGATCTACTACCATGACCAGCGTGAAGATATTCGCTCTCATGTCTTGCTACCCAGCGTATATCTTCCATCCGCGTGCCGACACCGGCAATCAGTGCTTAGCTTGAGGGATACTATCCTGAATAGGAACTTGGAAGACGTGAGACGCGTATTCTCGGGCAACAAATCATGCAGAATGACTGATTATATTCTGCCTAATATGATCCCCTTTAACTCTCTTAATTAGTCGCCAAATTCTGGGTTTCATGTAGCTGAAGTCTTGGCGCACATGAAGCGCGCCCTTGTGTAAGACTCCATCTGCTACCATTAGCGGATAATGGCTGCCATTAAATACAGTCTTTCCGCTTGTCTAGTGTTCAATAGAACAACAATAGGACCGTCGCTAGCATGGGAGCCATCCTGGCGAAGCTAGGTAGGCGTTGGCCGGGAACGTCACCCGCAGATTATTGGGGGAAGAGTCGCGCTCCCGTAGACGAGATGCAGCTGCTCAGGGGCACATTTACGACCGGAGATTGTACGTGTACCAGTTGATTCTTTTAATAGGTACATGTTCAAAGTGAACCGACTAGACGAGCACGCTTAGAACCACCACCCTCAGCTCGAGGTAGCCGAGCCGCTTGCCCCAGTACCCGCGGTTGCTCGCGCTAAACGAGAGAATCAGGCCGGCAAAACGCATCAAACACGTGGATGCGGCCGTGATCGTTGCTTCACAGCCAGCGCTCGGGCATAAACGCCGCCGGTTCCATGTCGTCCCAGTTTGGAGCGTGCAGGCGCATGCAACATGGAAGAGATGCTGCTGCGCAGCTTCTCACTAACTGCAACGGAGGGCGAGCTGAGTGAAGGGCCAGTGAGGTTGAGAAACACGAGCGTGTCCTGAGGAACGACGTGACCGAGGATTGCGGCGTCTCTTTTTCGTCACGAGAATGATGGTTGACGACGGGGCAGCAGTTGAGGCGGAGCACTTCCTCTAGAAAGACATCCAGGTACGGACATTGCTCTGTCGACGTGTCATGGCCGGCGAAGAGATAGCCGTATGACTGATCCCGGATGCGATGGCCATCTAGGACAGGTCGACGCCCCCGCCTTGTCCGCTGCCTTGACCTCGTGCTGTATAATGTAACCCAGCGCGCACTCGGGGGCGCGTAGCAGAGCAGCTTTTCGTCGTTGAGGAGCGAGGTAATCTGCTTACGCACATGTCGTTCCATCTTCATTATCATGGATGTGCTAGAATTCCTGTTTGGGTGCACTGATGACGAGGATACTAGTTATGTTGCGACGGCTTGACGATGGATCAAGACTTACACGGCATGGTGAGGATGGCGGAGATTGCTAGCTACACCCCCCCCCCCCCCACAAAAACAAGACCTGATTAGGCTGCGGCGGCCCTCGCACGCTCCACACTGAGAGTTTTGCTGGCATCCCTGCTCAGCCTTGCTTAGCTTAGCCCAGTCGGCCGGAAACATACAAACATAGCTAACTGCTGGTTGCAGTTGCACGAATGCACGCAAGCATCTTGACGAGGAATTATGACGCTGCTTTGACATCCTTTCCTTTGCGTTTTGCGCCGCCCATCAGCGAGGCAAGACTGCCTGAAACGAGTTTACATGGCAGTTTTGCGTAGCACATCATCTCCAAACCTAGACTCGGCCGGCTGTCACGGCGGATTTGCTGTTTCCAGACGCCGTGATAAGATATCGTGTACTGCCTCCTCCCCACTCGTTTTCAAGACTCTCAGAGTTTTGCTTTTCAAATCGTTTGGCTCGTGGATATTCATCACTGCGCTACTTGTCTTGACAGTTACCTGGACGAACAACCGCCAACCATGTCTGACGCCAAAGTAATGCGCTACAGCGACGACGACGCTGTCGTCACAGTGCAAGTCTTCCACTCAGAAACGGCTTTTTCTTTGCCCCTCGTCTGTTGTTTTTCCTGTCTAACACCAGGGTTTTGATGCGAATGCAGTCTCGGCGGCGCCATCGCAGGCCGTCTGCTCAACCACCCCGACCGATCCTTTGCCCTCGAGGTATCAATCGACCTCGAAAGGGCCAACGAGCTTTTAGAGCAGAAACCTCCGCTGCACTTTCACGCCCAAGAGGAATATATCGAGGCCATACAGGGCAAGATTGGCCTCGAAATTGACGGCAGGGAAATCGTGTTGACGCCCAAGGACGGCCGCTATGCCATCATGCCGTATGCCGACCACCGCACTTATCCAATGCTCTTGGACCAGCAAGAGCCCGGAACCTCTGTGGTCAAGTTTTTACTTTCCGGAGAAAAGACGGACGCCGTTTTTGAGCTAAATCCACCGTTCTTTGAGAATTGGTACAACTACCAAAAACAGATTGTCATGCACGGCGAGAAGCTGTCGTTACTGCAGCTCTTTTCTGTAAGTCACAACCCCAGATTGGCAATTGAAATGCCGCCGCGACGCAAAAATTATGCGAGCAAACACTTGCCAACTGATTCGGCCGTTTGTCGTAACTAGACATTCGATGCAGGTGGCACATATGTCTCGCTGCCCAACTGGATTCCCTTTGGCCAAACCCTCTCCATTTGTGCTGGTGTCGTCATTGGTCGCTGGATTGGCGGCATGCTCGGGTACCAGCCATTTTACCGCAAATGGACCACAGATTGGGACCTTGCCTGCACCAAGATGGAGGCGTCGTTTTTCCAGCGTCGGTTCGCCAACCGTTCGTTGAAAAAGGATGAGTAGAGATGATTCGGTGCTTTGCGGTGTTGGGCAAGCTTGGATTAGTAAATTTCTGATTAGGCAAGGAATCGATGTGGGTAATCAGCTGAACCTGAGATGTATTGAACATATTCTCGCAATTAAGCAAATGGAGTCTCACCTTTTGGATCAGAGGAAATCACTTGTTTCGCACTGATTAGGGTATTATTTCGCGGCTAGACACACTTGGTCCTTGCCAGCATCGCTAATGATCTGCTCCACGTTGGCAAACGCAAACTCGACCATCGTCTCCTTCCTTGCTCATCTCCGAAGTGTGAAACTGACCGAGAAGCTTTGAAACCAGTACGCGGTCGTTGAAGTCGCCCGTGCCCTTGTCGAGAGCGCAGGCAAAAGCGGGTTGAACGAGGTCCAGCTGGACACGTCCGACGAGGCGACGGAAATGCGGGTAGGCCCGCCTAGTTAGGATGGCACGCTTGGCCTTTGCGACGGGTGGCAGTAGAGCTGCGAGCAAGGCGGACGAGAGGTAGCCGACCTGGATTGTTTCCTCGTGGCCAGTGCTCTCGTTGATCCGAAACGTTGTGGCGCACAATCCGGCGTTGAGGATATATAGTCGACGCGATCCAGACTCTCGACGCGCTTGGCAAAGGCGACGACGGAATCGGTACGAGGCCAGGTCCAGCGGCCACGACTCAATGGACGACCCAATGGTTGTAGGTCTGCGATGGTGGCCTTGCCCTTTTCCTCGTTGTGGGCGCCGATGAGGAGCTTGCTCCGTGCAACAGGAGAGGGCAAAGCGGGGCTCGTATGGACGACGATAGCCGTGTTGGGATGGTTCCCACTACCTACCTAGGCTCACACCACCTTGGTATTAAGTCCACTACCTTACCTTATACTGGCTGTTGGACTGGCAGTACTGACCACTGTACTGACACTGGCCGCTGTATTGACCACTGTACCATGTTAGTTGAATGTAATATGGCTTAGCTACCTAGATAACTACAGCACCCCTGTGGGTGAGCATAGTCTAGAAAAGTGGAGTAAGAGCCTTGGAAATAGCCCCAAAAAATGCATTCGAGTCAGATCTACTCTATCGTCGCCCGTAGCTCGCTAATCTTTACTGACGGCGTCGATGATGTGAGACGCAAGACGCTTCACCAGTAGATGTGCGGGGCCACTGGCCCACTGCTATAAGTTGTCGTCACCTAATAAATAAATGCTTCTAGGATCGTTTCACGGGTGATCCTCATGCAGACCCTCGGATATAAACGGGACTTGTTCCTGTTGATTATTTGATATGGTCGCATAATATGGAGATGGAGAATGATCTTCTCAGGGTTGCTTATGATTTTCTATCCAAATTGGACGACCTGCAGCCTGCAGGGCACCATCTAGCACTAACCTCCCGGCCGTGCTGGCCTACAGACTGCGCGCTTTTGTCCTTGCCAAGTTGTCACCCACTGTATTAATATAATACTCCCTTAGAAACACTTAAATACTGCCAAAGTTACTGGCAGCGGATATTTCGGACATTGGAGGCGTCTCTGATTCATGGTTACCCTAGCAGTATATTAAGAGACCTATAATAAAGCATTGTTTAACTTGACCAAAATGTTGATCCATTACCCGCAGTGTGTTTCAAGATACGACGATCATAGAATGTCATCGGTGACGATCCCCTATGCACGTGAGTGGTCGAGGTCTTTACTAATAGGACATGAATCACGTCGTGCCCACTGCATGAGAACTAGTTAGGGGCGCAACCAATATATTTCGTACATTTGTCGTGGTGACAGATTTTTGGAACCCCCCCCCACTGTACGTATATACGTCCTGCACAAAGCCGCTTATTCATCTCATGCATGGCCCACACACGCTGATGATCCGACTAGACTAGTGGTCAATCATTCTGGAGAAACGAACCTTTTGCTGTCATCTCAAGTTGCGAAAGAAAAAAAAAAAAGAAAAAAAAAATTGAGTCTCCTAGTTTGCCTGTCTGCACAAAAGTGCCACCTTGCTGAATTTAATTGACATGGTTATACTTTACTACTTAATTCCTCCGGACTCGAAAAGCACTGCAGTGTCCTGGGGCAGTGAGTCTCCTAGGCCCGTAAGTATCCTAGGCCCGTAAGTCTCCGTAGGACAGCAGGCCTCTGGACTGGGCGCTAAGTGCAGGCCAGTGCTTATCATCATCACTGCGATATACAGCACATTCATAGGCGGCTGAACTTACAGGGCTGCGCCTGCTCCTCGACAACTGCCTGGGCCTTATGAGCCCGGGCTCGATAGTGCCTCACCTAAACCACTGTTACGATAGATAGTATTTGGATCGTCCGACAGAGGTACCACATAATCATACTAGCTCAGGTTTATCTTATTTATATGCAACACGTGCTATGGAGTGACTGCATAAAGCAGACCCCAACATAGCCACCACAGCGAGTATCTAGCCTCTGCTGAATCAAGCGCGTGACCTACACGTTAAGAAGAAAAGTCCCCAAAAGGCGGACTTTGGATCTTCAGCTTGCTATACAAACTAACATGGCATTTCCACAATGCGAGTCGCTGTGAAACGTCATGCGAGTGGGCTACCTACCTTGTCCAGCGAGACTCCGCCAGAAAGTCTGCAGTGCGCCGCACTCAACGTGAAAGTCATAATAGTATGTGGACTGAAAAGGATTCTAGATGAAAGAAGATCTTATGCCAAAATAGGTAGGAACGACAAATTGAGAAATTAATTAATTAGTATTCTTTGCAGTTGTCAAACATGCCAAGCTTCCCCTATCATACCAGTCAGTGCCTCGGCGGCGCGACTCGTCTGTTGTCTAGTTCGTTTGATGATACTTAAGAAGCCGCTTTCTCGTCTCTTGTTGATAGAGTACCAGAGTCAGAATAAGCAGGTCTTTTTCCTTTCTTCTGTTGACTTCACTATGGCAATCCTACCCTTCCTCGTCTCTGGTCTCATGGCCTCGGGTTCTCTAGCTGGCCCTTTGCAATTGAGGAGCCCGATTGAGCATCGCTGCGGTAGCCGGTCTATCAGCGCAGAGGATGCCGAGCTATTTAAACGGCAGAGCTCTCAGCCTCCGCCCACTGACAATGGAAATGAAATCAACTTGGGATGTGTTGTGCATTTATGCTGCGACGAGGGCGAGCGGGGATGTCCCTCGGTAAGTTTCTTCGTTCTAGAATACATTGGGAGAACCTGGCAAAACCCCCCGACGCTAACCTGCCATCTCAAGGACGATGTCGCTCAAAAGGCTGTCGACGAAATGAACACGTACATCGACGGGGCCAACATCAAGTTTAACCTGCAAAACGTTTCGCATATCGATAATGCGCGCTGCACCGCCGGCTTGGAGAATGACCCGGCTATGGATGCATTAAAGGCTGAAGTCCATCAGGGCAATACCAGCACCCTTAACCTTGTTTACGTGCCGACAAACCGGGGTGCAGGAACCAAGGGAGTGTGCGTTTTGCCGCAACCCAACACCGACATTGCCCGAAATATTGGTAGCAAGGACGGATGTGTCGTCGCCATGGACACTCTGCCGCCCACCAGCACTACCAAGCCTGGCAATGGCGGCGGCAATCCTGGCGGCGGCAGCGGAGCTTCGATAACAACTACGCATGAGATGGGCCACTGGCTTAGCCTTGATCATGTAGGTCAAGGCCAGGTGCAGCCTCAAGGAGGTTCCAACGGGTTTTTCAGACGTCTTCTTTCACGGCAAAACGGCAATGGCGAAGGAAACGTCATGGAGCCCACGTCGGTGTATGGTTTCCCTCTTCCATTCAGAAACGTTGAAAGTGGACGGCTAACACCAACATCTCAATAGGCCAGGCAAGGAGTACGCATTTAGCAAAGAACAACTCCAGCGAATGCGCGAGGTAGCGCTGAGCCGCTTGGAAGATCAAAAAGTCCCTGTGGACAACAAGAATCCATCTACTCCAGGTACTGACGGCCCAGTGAATGGCCCTCAAAATCCGAATGAGCCCAGCCCAGGCGACTTTGATGGCAACAAATCCGGCCCGGGCAAGAATCTCAACCCAGGCAAGAAACCCAACCCAGGCAAGAAACCCAACCCAAGCAAGAAACCCGACCCAAGCGACTCCGATGGCAATACACCCAGCCCGAGCAAGAAACCCGGCCCAGTCATTACACCCGGCCCAGACGGCTTCGATGGCATTACACCCAGTCTCGGCAACGACGGCGGCCTAATCCCCGTCCCCGGCCCAGTCAACTTCGGTGACGGCAGTAACTTTGTCAACGCTGGCGGCTCCGTCGACGGCGACCTGCAGCCAGTGATTGAGGCTAGCCTCGGCAACTTGCTCGGCGGTGGAAAGTCTAATCTGGTTCAATTTTCCCGGAGGGAGGCGGCCGAGGCTAAAGCTGACGAGCCCGAGTTGGTTCACATTTCCCGGCGGGAAGATGACGACGAGTCCGAGTTGGTTCACATTTCTCGGCGGGAAGATGACGAGCCCAAGTTGGTTCACATTTCCCGGCGGGAAGATGACGAGCCCGAGTTGGTTCACATTTCCTAGCGAGAAGATGCGAAGGAACTAGATGCAGGGTCCAAGTGATTGGCAACTTCGTTTAGAATTTAGAGTGTCACTGTAACTCGACTTTAAGGTCTCTAGAATCCCGATCTGATTAAACATATTTCGCATGAAACCTCTTTTCAAGCTTTGCTGCATCGTTCTGTTGCGCCTATCCCTCTTCGCTTGGCTCTGTACACCGCCTTAAAATTAGACTAATCCAGAATAAAGAGGGTGTAGAGATTTGTAATCGATTGACATGCATTCGCATTCTCTTCAAACAAAGGGTCGCAGAAGACGCGAAGGCTGCTGGGGTATCAGGCCGAGATGGTTACCACTCTTGACATCCTCTATGCAGGATCTCCAAGCTACGTTGACCATCTTGCCTAGCATAAACTATCTTGCTTTCTAGCTAATCCGCCCCACGGTTGTCAAGGTCGGCCACCTGTGCGCAATCCTGGAAGCATTATCTGCGACGCAACAACAGTAATTACGTTCAACACACCACAGCAGCGGCAGTGTATCATGGACCTCTGGTCCAGTTTTTGTAGGGCCATTTCAGGCCGGATGCGTGCGAGGGACCTGTGCAAAGACTGCCCAGACTCTCTCCCAAATACATCTGCGGTTGTTGAGGTCTAAGAAAGTGCCGACGCGACCGAGTGCGTCGCTTCTCTGAAGACGCTGCCAAATCACCAGTCGGGGGGAGGGCCACCTTGACTCCAACATCTCGTACGAGTTTCTTCCAAGCAACAGCGCCTCGTGCGGCGAGTTCGCGAGGGACAGTGGCGTCCTCCTCCGCCATTCTGCGGTGAAAGAGCTCCATGCTGACCCAGCCTTGGTAGCCGAGGTCTTTAAAAATGACCCGCGCAATCTGCTTGACGGGTAGACATGCCCCTCTGTCGCTCTCGCCGTAAAAAAGCCGGCAGTTTCGGCTCCAGCTCATGCGAGGCGGCTGCGCCTCGTCGTGCAACTCGTGGCCTGGAAGTAGCGGCGACGCGAGGCGCTCCGCGTCCACCACCTGCACGCAAAAGACCTTGGAGACGTCGACGGTTTCTGCCATGAGGGCGAGCGACTGCGCAAGCAGCTCGTCAGAGTCCTTGTTGCGCCCTGTAGGGTCGGTAGGATCGGCCCAGACCCTCGCCGCGATGTTGAACGTGTCCAGGCAGAGACCAAAGTTGGGCCTGTCGACTTGTTGGACAATCTCCCAGCTTCGCTCCCACGTATCGCAGTGCGTGCCCCAAGCGAGAGCTTCATAGACGAAGCGCATGGGAGGCTCTTGTAATAAGCCGAAATCTGCGACCTTTTGCAAATCTTGAATGGCAAGCCGTGGATCACTGGAGAGCTGGCTTTTGGGAAGAAAGTTGGACGGGATCTGAATCATGTCTGTTTCGAGTGCTCGCGCCAGTTTAAACCAAAAGAATAGTTTTTCGACATGTTCAAAATGTTTGGATCGGTCCAAGAGACCTTCATAGTGCCAGAAAGGCTGTAGACATATAACTTTGATGCCTCTCTGCCGGCACACTTGATGAATGATGCGGGCGGCTTCAAGCTCATTCGCCTTTGTCAGGCCACCAGGCATCATTCGTGTAATGGAGGCGAGGTCATCGTGAAAGAGCTCGACCCCTTTGTATCCATGCTTTTGGGCCATGTCCATCTTGTGCACAAAGTTGTGGCCGGCGGTGCCGCGGCCGAGAGACACGGAGGTGATGGCAAGTTGGCAAGGCATGTTGAAGCCTGTTGAGAAGAGAATAGTGCAAAATCCGTATTCAAGATGGAAATTAAGATGATGTGCATTATGGTAAATTCTGTTTTTCTTTACATGCCGGTTGATTGCTTGTTACAAGGAATCTTGATTGCTACTCTGGCATGTGCAAAACGGCCTATACTCGCGCATGACCAATGCCGCCGCTGCTAACCGCTGGTTGAAGCATATGGCCAACTTTTTTTTTTTTTTTTTCGCAATATTTGCTCTCTGCTTAGGCCAACTGAAGAGCCAGTCGGCGATGACTGTGCGAGGCCGTAAGTTGAGGGCTGAGACTCGAGTGTGCGCACCGACAGATGGTGTGAATAGGGGGTGTCAACATGACTTGGCCATCCGCCCGCTGAAATTATAGTGGTTTAACAACTGTTACCTATATCAGGCCTAATTCACATCAATGAAGGTGTGGATCCGCCTTTTCGCTACGACAGAAGGCCCATGCATTGAACTGTCACGGCTTACATGAACAACAAGTTGTTCCGATAGTCTGTTGCAGTGAGAATTCGACCTAATCATTTCTCGACTTCATGAACTAATTGCTCAGTGTAGGACATATTATCACTCATATGCTACGCTGAACTACATGCGCGCCCTTGACTCTTGCTTCGCCAACACCAAACAAGCTACCTTGGCGGCATGTTTGATCCCCGTGTTGAGGAAAGCCTACAAAAGGAGCACGCCGCCATTATCGATTGTATTGAATATTCCTTCAAGTTGAGTTGGGCAACTGAGTGTCAGATGACCCCCAACGAGAGAGAGCGGCTCTTTTATACCAGTTTCTATCGGTCATTTTGTTAATACTACTTAATTGCGCTTTGAAAATTTACCTCATTAGTAGCATAATGTTCGCTATGTAAGGATAGGGCTTCGGTGAGGGCGGCAAAATTGTTTGGTGAAGAACAGACGAGCGCAGGCTGCAGAAACACAAGATGAAGACCCTCTATCGTGCCGCAGTCATTGCCAAGATTGACAGCAAATATTGGTGGTCGTTGGTATATAAGACAGAAAATTATCATTAAAATTATGAAGGACTCTTGTTATCTTGAGCAGTAGTTGCCAACTGTTTATATGTCAAAGCGATTTATCCAATTTGTTGACTTTGCATGATGGCCGCCTTTCTTGGCTCAGCTTGTACTCGTGACTGCCTTCGTATGAAGGCAAGAGTTCGAAGGGCCATCTTGGCTCGCTCACGACGGCATGGACTGTATATATCACGGAAGAGAGCGCGCATTATTTCATCCTCCTCTTCGTGGCCAGCATTAAACTGATGAATGGCACGCATTGGGTGCATGCCCTTGATAGCCCAAGTATCCAGCATCCCATGGCGAACGCGAACGGCGCGCTCAGCACGCGCTTCACTAACACTGGAGCACAGTTTCCTGGCCAAGGAATTATTCGCACGTGTCCATATATCGCTGTTCATTCGCCCGTATTCTGTGACACATTGACAAACGACTATCAGACGAGGTCGCAGGATGCTGAGAACTTCTTCTACCATTTGGTACGAATCCTCCATGGCGTTGGCTCTTTCCTGCCTACTCATGCTTCGCAAATCGTCGTCGCTGAACAGGGAACATATGTCGATTATTGGCACCTCATCGATATCAAGTCCGTTTTCGCGGAGACGCGTTGTTATAAAATCGATTGTAGAACATCTTTTCATTTCTTCAAAAGGTTGATCATGGAAGTTACTCGGGTTCTGCAGCAGTATGAAAGGGTATTCCTTATAACCCCTCAAGGAGCGGACAAAATTGGTGTAACGATTTGAGGTTTTGTCAATGCTGTATTTTTTGCCAAGATGCCGAGCAGGCCTGAAACATGGATTGTCGCTGGTTATGAGTGTGAGTCGACGCTCGCGTAGGTCGGGAATGAGTACTTCGTCGACGACCCTACTTCGGGTTCTTTCTTGGTCAATTTCAAGATTGCCAAATACTTCGGCGAGTACTTCTATAGAGGAGTGAGCGTTATGAAAAGGGGCCGATATGTGCCATGATGCCATACCTGCCAGGTGTGAGGAAGCCATTTTACAGGGTGACACCGGGGTTGAAAATCTCCGTAGACTGCAAGAATATTGAGTGGTAATTTCTGCGCGATTTACATTTTAGTCAACATGAAATATGTCCTTTATATAGTACGCGATTTTATCTGGGGGCACTGCATGCAGCGAGTATATTTGGCTGCGTTCAGCCAGACAACCAACTTTTAAGCTAGTTTCACGTTAGCCAGCTGCGCCCAACGCAAGAACGAGTAGATACAGTTGAGTCTCGTCTAAACCGCGAACATACAGCTTCCACTTGTTGATCTTTTTTTACGATTTCAGCTTTTCTCTTTAAATTGATTTCGTGGTTGATCTACTTTGATCCGATCTGATTTCCGTTTTTATCCAGTCTAGCTTGGTCAGCAGCGTACTGGAATTCAAGACATGTTCGGGGTCTCAGAAGGATTCGTCTGCATTCGGCAAGCTGCGATGGCCGCATTTTGCGACACATAACAACGCTGTTCTCTGACCACCATGATCAACGAGGTTCTAATACCGTGAGTAGTGAAGTAGATGAAGTTGATCCGGACCTCCTCATCCTGATCTGGCTCCATTCATTTCCTAGACTATCAACTCGCACTTTGACCGAGCCTCTCGCGTTTGATCCACACGCAGTCGTGAGCGCAATTAGTGTATACTTCACTACTTAAAATAAACCCAACACCAAACACAGGCGTCTGTTCTTTAGTGCGATCAGACTCGGCACCAGCAATCTACAATGCGCTCTCGTCAATGGGCTTGCTGGCCAGCGGCAAGGCCATGACCTTCTTCGCAGTATGGGACTACCCGAGACCCCCGTTTGAGGAGCAGGTTGACGCGCATATGGGCGCACGAGAGCTACTGTGCGCTCAGAATCACTGTGATATTGGAAAGCTCGCGTTCTTTTTTTTTTTTNTTTTTTTCTTGTGTGTGTCAGCCGACATCAATCAGCTTCGGGCTCTCTCGTTCTTGTGTTGGGGTGTGTGCCTTTTTGCAGCAAGGCGTAGGATAGACTGTATCTAGGACCCCTCCGTAACTAGAACAATCTAGAGGGCGGCGAGCCCCACCAATCGCAGTCACATCCCACCAAACTTTATTCGAGACGACTGCAATATCGTGACTGGTGCGGGACAACGTCTACATTCGGCTCGAATGTCAAAATCTTAGGTCACCTGATAAAATACATTGGTAAAGTCTTCTTGTTTGACTTTTAGATCGCAAGGCAGGTCTCTGTGTGCTGCTTTGGTCCAGACAAGTCATTCGCAGCCGCCTACCTTGAAGATTTTGATTGCCTTGTACCAGGCACTACCATGGTTGCCTGAGCCGACCTGCAAAAGTACTTCCTCAACGTGATGGAAAGGGAGACAAGAAAACATAATAATCACCAGAGTCCCGAGGCTATGGCTTCGTCCTCGCAGAATGCCGCGGCGCAGCTTGCCGCCAATCCCGCTGCTCAGCCCCTCATTCAAGAGCTCTTTCAGCATGCGTCTGACGCCCAACATGCACCCAAGGTGGCGCAAACAATAGAAGAAACGAGAAGCGCATTCGAGGTTGGAGTTGCGGCGCTAAACATTTTTCTTCAGATCAATGTCACTGGCCCTGTGCCCGCGCGTCAGCCAATGGCAGATATCGAATCTCAGTTTCTCAAGGCTTGGGAGTCAACCTCTCAAACGTCGAACCCCTCTACTTCAGTGGTTACTCCGATAATAAAAATGAGAAGAGACTGTCTTAAACAGCTGGAAATTGACGGCCTGTCTCCATACCCGCATATTCCTTCGCTAGAGCTCTTTTGCCTCGCCAGACACATCTTTATCAAAACCCTGTCGACACCCGACAACGACATTGTGCAGCTAGCCGTATCCGAGACTCAAAAGCACAGCATCTCTTGGACAAGATTACGTATCCATGTGTGGCACTACAAGCTCATTGCGCAACCCAGCCTCGGCGGCTCTACCTTTACCAAAAGCTCCAACTGGATCGAGCTCCCTTCGCTGGCGACTCTGATCACGGATTCCATGGATGCTGTTCGAAGCCGTTTGCTGAATGAAGATGTATGGGCAGATGAAGAAACGTGGAGCGTCCAAGACAAGGTGCAATTCCTGCTCGAGGCGGCCAACAACAACATCTTGCTAGGTCGGGCAGACAAGGCCAAGGAGCTCGTTGAGGAGGCAGCCAACAAGAACAACTTCTTATACGCCCTTTCAGGTGCTCTCGGCAAGAGGACAAAGTTTCAGGAAAAGTCCATCAGTCAACTAGTCGTGCTGGCTCTCAGCCAGACACAGGAAACGGCCAGGGAAACCGGAGACGACGAAGAGGACGACGTCAAGCCGCAAGCCCTGCAACTAAACGACGACACGCTTCTGGAAGAGATTCAATTCAGCAAGGAACGAGAAAGCAATAAATCAAACTCTACTGAATTGCCTGAACCACTGGCCAATCTGACACCCGATGAGCAGCCGCAACTCAGCCCCCTCGACCAAATCACCCTCCTTACTGAAGCGACCATCAAAGACACGTTTTCGCCGACAGACACTCTAACTGCCGAAGAGATTCTGCCATTCGCAACTCGAGTGCTTGCTGACAAGTCTACCAACTGGCAAACATATACCCAGGCCCTCCTTGTTCGCTCGCGCATCGAAGTGCATCGAAGCCGCACCTTGGAGCGTGGTGTCCTTCAAATGCAGGCCGTAGCCGACCAAGTCCTTACAGATACCACCTTGCCACCCGAGACGGGGGAAACTGCGACAGAAGAAGTGAAAGAGTCGACTATTGCTGCCCCTTCCATACAAATAACTGCACCCGGCCACCATACTGGAGATGAAGCGGCGCCTGCTACCAGTGCGCCTACATCATTCTTTCCTGCTGCAAAAGCCGCGGAGTCTGCGCCTGCCGACATACGCCTTCGCTACATTCACGCTCTCTCAACCCCACCTCGATGGCATTTGGAGGCTGAGCTGGCCTATGCTTGGGCTGGTGCCGGTTCTCTTGTCTCGGCGCTAGAAATCTTTAAGCGTTTGCGACTATGGGCCGAAGTCGCTCTTTGTCTCGCGAGTGCCGACGCCCTCGACGACGAAGACGGCCGTGGGAGCGGCGGTGAGGCCAAAGCAAAGGGCATTGTGCGCTGGCAGCTTTTCAACAAGACAGGTGCCGACGCTGCATCCAACTCTGACCCAGACGACGAGGTTGCGGTCCAAGACATTACGTCTCTCAAGGCCGACAACTTCATGGGCCCGGAACGCTCCCCAGCGCCGTCCAACGCATCACGCTTGTGGTGTATTCTCGGCGACTTGGAAAGCAACGCGTCGTTCTACGAACGTGCTTGGGAGGTGTCAGGCCACCGATACGCTCGCGCACAGCGCTCCCTTGCCGAGCACTACCTAAAACAGAAGGATCTCGAGCGCGCTCACGAGGCCTACAAGAAGGCCACATTCGTCAACCGACTCGACCCCGACATGTGGAGCCGTCTCGGCGACATCAGTCTGCGTCTGGGGCGCTTCGAGGACGCCGCCGAGGCTTTCACTCGGGCTATTGGCAGCGCCACTGGCGACCTCGGCGGCGAAGGCGCCAAAACCTGGAGCAACCTGGGCACTGCGCTCTGGAGTCTCTACAGCGAAGTTCTCTCTGCTCAGAAGCATGGCGAAGCCGAGCCCTCAACCGGGGCCGAAGCCTTAGCAACAACCCCGGTCAAGCCCGAGGAAGATGAGGACGAGACTGTTGCTGCCGCCGCCAACACTGCGCAAGACACCAAGACGTCCAAGAACCCAGAGAAGCTCCTAGCCCAGGCACTCCATGCGTACAAGATGGGTGCTACCGCTGCGCACGACAACTGGCGAATTTGGGAAAATGTCGTCACGCTGGCCTGCCGCATGCGGCCCCCTGCCATTGCCGACATCATTGCCGCCACGCGCCAAATTCTCCGCATCCGCCAGACCGAGGATGCCGTCAACGCGCCGGTCCTCGGCGCGCTGCTGCAGGAAGAGGTCCTCTGCAAATCCAAGGACGACGCCCCCAGTACCGGCATCTACGAGCCCCCGCGCGGCACCCCCGCGCGGCTCGTCGCCCGCGTTCTCGAAGAGGACATTGTCCCGCTCATCACCCGCCGTGCCGAGCTCTGGTCCCTCGTCGCCAAGCTCCGCGGCTGGCGCCGCGACTACGCCGGCGCCATTGACGCTTCGGAAAAGGCCTGGCGCGCTGCGGTCGGCGCCTCGGGCGGCGGCCTGCTGCCCGGCAGCGACGCGATGACGACGGGCGCCGGCGCCGCCGACTGGACCGAGGACGAGGCGGCGTGGCTCGATGTCGTCGCGCGCACCGACGAGCTCGTCTCAGTGCTCGAGACCTGGGGTGCCGATGTCGACGAGATTGGCGCCAGGTGGCGGGGCAAGGCGCGCAGTGCCGTCCGCAGCGTCATGGGCCGTGGCAAGACAAGCTGGGAGGGCACCGAGGGATGGACTTTGCTCGAAGCGCTCATGGAGGGGCTCAAGGTAAATAAATGAAAAAAAAAAAAAAAGAAGGATGTAAAAAAAAGAATAAGGAAAAAAGTATGAGAAATGTTGACGTCAAGGAGGGTAGAAACTGGATATAGATAAAAGCAATACACCTTACATTTTGGTTATGCACTATTGTTGGTGATTACTGCGAAAGCAAACACTGCCTCCTATTCTTACAACAGTCGTATTGACTACAACGCGCTCTCGACTCAATCAAGCTACTCATACATGGTTGCCATCTGGCCAGCAAGACGCGGCAGCAACCCATCTTCTGCTTATTGCTCTAGAATACACATGTTTTTCGCTAGTCTCCAAACATCGCTTCGTCAAACCACATCACTCATATCCATCCTGCTTCATGTTTCATCATATACGACATCAGTGAGCCCCTGATGACCTCTTCTTTCTTCGTCCAACAACAAGTTCCCAACAGCATCACGGGCATGAGACAGAGTCTGACAAGACCGTTCAGGTGCCCCTCATCTCCCGACTTGCTAGGATCGACTTTCCTTCAACATATGATAGGGTGATTTGCTCTATTTCTTGCCCTTCTTTCTGCTTGGGACGACCTTGAAGCCTGCTCCCTGCATCGCAGAGGCGTTTCCTTCGGGCTCACGAGACGGCTGGTTGCTGTTGCTGCCCTTCTTGGCCACTTCGTTCCAGCCGCTCGAAGAGCTCCTATTGTCGGACGCTTGCTTTTCAAAAATGCCCTTTTCGGCAAGCTTCTTGCGACGAACGTACTCTTCCGCAAAGTGTCTACCGTCCATAGTGGTGGAGCTGGCATAGACGGCGTCGGCAATCAGACCAGTGTCGAGCGGAAGCGCTTCCAAAGTCGACTGAAAGCTGGCAACTGTCATCGGTGTTAATCATCATCTTCAAACCTTCGCATTCGAGTACACTTACCATCAGTCGTGATGCCGCGAGAAAGCTCTCGGTGCGTCCATGCATTAAACTCATCCATAGCCGTGTTGCCGCTGTTGGCAGATCCAACGAACTGCGTGCTAACAGCAGGGTTAGGCTTAGAACTGGGTCGAGCTACAGCCGCCGCAGGCTTAGCGCTCGCGGTGCTGGCAGGTCTGACGGGCACAATTGGCCCAGTGGGACCCTTGACTTTACCGCCAGCTCCAACTGTTGCCCAACCAGCGCCAGGAGGAGCAATTGGAGATGCTGCGCTCGGGTTCGCAGGCGCATTGGTCTTGCCCGCCAGATTGGCGTAGCTCTTGGAAGCAATGGTAGGAGTGCCGGTCTGAATAGCCGTCTGCATGGCCTTATGCTTTCTTACTTCCTCCTCCCGCTGGATTTCAGCCAATGTCTTCTTACTCAAAGATGAAGTTGAGACCGAGGTGGGAACGCTAGCTCCCTTCTGCGGTCCAGGCTTGGCCCACGGGGTTGAACCGGCCCCCGGCGAACCGTGGCCCCAGGTGCTGGATGCAGGCAGGGCCGCAGCTGTAGCAGCCGCAGCAGCAGCCCTCTCCCGCTCGCGCAGGAGAGCGCCCTCTTGCTCCATTGCGGCCTTTCTCTGGGCGGCGGCAAGTTCTTCAGCCTTGGCAGCCTTGCGCGCTTCTGCCTCTTGAATCTCCTTCAGGCTTGGACCGCGCTGGCCTTCCTGACCAGGCTCTTTGGCCCATGGTGCCAGTGGCGGTGGCTGAACAACTTCTGGTGTGGCCGTCTGGGATCTGCTATACTGCTCTGGGAGGTTGGATCGTACGCGCTGAGCGGTGGGAGCAGGAAGAGGCGTGCTTGAGGAGGGGGGAGGAAATGGCATGGGCATACCGGGTTGTGCAGACTCTTCAGAGTCGGCAAATTCCGCAGCTGCAGCTTGCGCAATCTGGACTTGCTCGGTGAGAGACAGAGCCTCATCCTCTGAATGCTTCTTCTTCTTTCCAGCTTTCCCAGACTGTCGACTGGTAGCAGCAACGGGTTCAAAGGTCCGAGCCTCCGACATAGCTTGCTGCTCTTCTTGATCCTTGGCGGCCTGCTCCGCCTCAATTTGAGCACGTAGGCCCTCAAACTCCTGTAGACGCTCCCGGAAACCTTCAGAGTCTTCAGCAAGTTGGCCGGTCTGTGGGAGACCAGCACGGAAGCCTTCTTCGCTACCGGCTTGCTCCCCCATAGCAGCGGCCTCGTTTCCCCCCATAGCAGCAGCCAGCATCTGGCGCTCATGACCACTCAGGTTGATGACGTCTTCTTGGCGAAAATGGTCGTTTGCAGCTCTCGCATGGAGCATAGCTCCGCCACCTCCAAGATCCAGGAAAGGGCCTAAGCCACCCATGGAAGGTGGTTGCTGGGCTGGGTTGCTGATGTTTCCGAAACTTGGTTGACTCTGGAGACTCTGGGCGCTGGAGTGGTGTTGCAGGCCTGCGTTGTGAATCGGGAATTTGGACATTGCCTGCTGGCGCATGACGTAATCTCTCTGCTGAGCCATAATGTACTGCTCCTCCTGTTTCCGGCGCTCTAGATTGTTCTGTTCCTCAGCTGTAAGAGTTCTGCCGAAGCTTGGGAAGACGCCACTCAGGGGCGGAATGACTCCGGTATTGCCGTTATAGCCACCAGCTTGTACAGGAGGCCCATGAGGAATACCAATCTGAGGGACTAGGAACGGCTCACGCGAATTACCTATGCGACGGATGAGCTGACCAAGTGGTTCGAATTCTGGATCCTCGACTTTCTTGACACGAAGGTCTGGAGTAAAAAAGTTGGCCTTATACCAGTCGTTCATTTCCAGGCCAGTAAAGGGCCCCTGAACCTGGCCTTGAGGATCCAAGTACACCCATCTCATGCGATCCGGCATGACCATCTGGCGAGCCTGAGCCGATGGCAGCTCACTTGGAGTGAGTCCGCCAAATGGCAGACCGCCAGGAATGGGGGTGAAAGATTGGCTAGAAGGCCCTTGGCTGCCGTCAGAGCCTGCCATGTGAGCAAGTCCCCTGTTTGAGTCGTTGGACGGAAATAGCTCCTCGAAAACGCCACGATTGGAGCGCATCGGGCTTTCTGTATCTCTTGACGGCCCTGGAAAGTTGCCGCGGCCAATAGCGCCAAGAGGATTGCCCTGGCGAAGATCAGGACCGTCGCTACCGGACTCGTGGTCATTACTCTGCATTTGCGCCTGCATAGCGGCAGGGAATAGGGAACCGAGCTTGCTACCACGCCCAATGCTGCCAGCACTGAGGCCACCAGAAGCCGACGGACCAAATACATTGCCCAGGTTGCCGAGGCCGGGAGATTGCAGCTCTCCCATATTTCCAAACAGAGAGTTCCCGAAAGCGCTTCCAAAGTTGGGACGATCGCGATCAGGAGTCCCAGTCGAAGGCCCCGGAGCAGGCCATCCAGATAGGTGGCCGAGTGGATAACCCTTTGTACCGACGCTAGAGGTCTGACTGCGATCGCTGCCATCGAAAGCACCTGGAACAAAGCTTCTATGCAAAGCGCCGAAGCCTGCACCATGCTCTTGAGAATTGCCACCGTAATGCTTGTTGTCATTGGCAGACTCTCCGTCTTCACGATTTGCCGGACTGCGATACGGGTTCGTCTCAGATGGGCTGTTTGGGTCGTCGTCACCATCTAGATTCAAACCTGCCATGCCAAAATCGCCAGCAGAGCCCTTGACGGGAGTGCCAAGAGGACCAGCGCGATTGCCACCTGAAGTTGTATCCTGCGACCCTCCGAGCATTGCACTGCCTGATAGTTCATCCTCCCCGAACGGATCCGTGTCAGTTCGCGGTCGCGTTCTCCACGACTGCTGCTGTCCAGTGGACACGTTTGCATCGGGGGCTTTGGTACTCATATTATCAGAGCTGTCTTTTGGCATGAGATGAGCAAGTCGACTTCCGCCCGCCGCGCCACCGACGCGTTTATCTCCAACAGCCGAAGAACCGATGGAGAAGTTTCCGAAACCTCCTGTACCAGGTGTACTCGGGTTGGATGGAGGCCAAATGGAGCTCATTCCCACAGCGCTGGCAGTGTTGGCCCGCATGAGACCAGGTAAAGCCGGTTTCGCTTGGTCACGAGGCTGGTCCACAGACTGATCCTCAGTCTCAGATTCTTTCGAGTCGCCTGCCTTCCGATTAAACCAATACGCCTGGTCATCTCTGGAGAATCTGCCGGCTCCTCCCGTTGGAGACCCGAGCCCAGAGCTGCTGAAAGGGTTCGAATCGACAGTCTCGCGCCGGCGAGTGGACGGCCGAGTCGCAGAAGACGGCGATGTGAGGCCGTATGCGTTGCCTGTTCCGTGGGAAATGGAGGGTTTTCGACCACTGCCGTTCGGTTGATGGGCTTCCTTGTTCTGAGTCGGGGGCTTGAGCGGGGAGTTGATGTCGGTGGAGAATGCCTTGTCGTTGTTAGTAGATTGATGAGGGGAGGTATTGACGAGGGTTGGCTATTCACCTCCTTCTCTTCGATGGAGTATTCTTGGAAAGAAATCGGAGTCGTCTCGCCGTTTTGATCCCAGCAGGCACCAGGTTCTTGGGGGACGTGATTTTCGTTGCTTTTGCCCCAACCCCTGCCACTGTTTCCGTTAATGTTGCTAGGGTCCCAGCCGGAGATGAAGAGACGAGAAAGATCGTCGCTCATCTTCTGAGCACGAAACACGTCTAAGAGATCTTCCTTGGTATAGCGGCTCGGCTCAGCCTCGACATTGGCAATTACGGCAGCATGCTCAGCTGACGCGGGCTGAGCCGTAAAGTCTGTTGGAGGGGCGGCCTGCATAGTCTGGCCGAGGGGGGTCGTCGATGCGCGCCGAAATGTCATGGTTCCGTTCGCGGAGCGGCCGTCTCGACGTGCCCTGATGGGGGGGTTGTTAGTACTTATTGTGTTTGCTAAGGTGGCGCGGGCTGGGATGGGGAAAGTTTTTCGCGACGCAGCCGGGTCATGGAGGCGATGGGCAGACGCAGAAAAAAGAGAACCCGTGATACAGTTGTAGCACAAGCAAGCTGCCATATGCGATGGTACCGGTGCCATACTCACGCAGCGCGAAGTAAAGCAATTGTCTAGCAAGGGATGGCAGGTCAACTTACCAGTCGCCGCCTACAGCGCCGCGACCATCAGGACGACCGGTCCTGGGGTCGCGATTCGCGTTCTGGCCGGCAGCAGCCGAGGCGAAACTTGAAGGAAGGTTGGTTGGCATTTTTGGTATGGCTTTTGTTAAAGCTGATGGGAGCTCGAAGCGCGGATCACCACGTCTGCTCTGAAGGCTGATAGCTTAAGTCGGTACGGCACCGGTGAGGGCGACGACAATGGCGATGTAGAATAAAAATGCAAATACAACGCTTGCTAAAGCAACGTAGATTGCGAGATTGCGCGTACAAGAATGGCAATGTAAAATATTACAGGTGTTTGGGGGTCGTGTTATGGCGAGAACGTGAAGTGAATCAGTAGGTAGGCGCTTGGGAAGAAAAGCCAGCAGGTTTTGGCAAAGGCAAATTTGGAGGTCTTGAATTGGCCCCCAGGCGGTAGGCGAGGACCAGAATGCACTATCCTTAAAGCGGCTAAGGTCCGAAGTATACCCGAGTAGTAGGCACGAGGGCTGAATCCTAACTGGGGGGGTTGGGTGGCAGCGCAGGTCAGTTGCTGACATGTCGCTTTTTGGTGTCGCAGCATTGTGCTGTTGGTTGACAGTTTGCCTTGGTGATATCAGAGTACCATATACTTCTCCGACGATACTTGGCATTTTTTAAATGTTGTCAAATCGGCGCAGTGATGATGGCATGGCGTCCCATGCCTGCTTTTTGTTTGCAGTGACTACCATTGCCGCGCTACCAACACAGATCCAACGCTGAGTCGTTTCACTCATGTCGCTCAGCCTTACATCCGAGCGTCGATCAACAAAGCTTGGCAAAAGTCTTGTTGTGTTATATGACACTTGTTTGTTTTCTGCAGCTGAATCAGGCGAAACTGGCTAACCCTCCATTTGCAGGCACGATGGACGTACTGGCCTTCGGTTGCAGTGTGGGAGCAAAGTTCAAGAGTCAGTGAATCTTTCAGATGAGTATACCAGCCAACTCGTCCATTTCCAGAAGAAAGGCAACAGTAAAAATGCATTTGTAAAATCTTCCTCATGGCAAGGGCTTCCATCAAGGATATCAGGCGCGGCAGTTGGCCTCATCATCCGATCTGTACACGGAGCTTTATGCGTACATCATAGGCTGGAGATTCTCATGGGTGGCCATGGCCTCTGGAACCAGCATCGGCTTGTCCAGCCCATATATAACGCGAGGTCTGCAATGACTGCGACCTAGCTCCTCCCCTCTCGCCTTTGCTCTCATGCCTTGATCCAGAAAAAGCCACAGCATTTATCCACGATTCTATCGTACAGTACGGCAGCATACATGCATACCATGCCACCCTATTCTTGCCTTTGTACAATTCATCCTTTTCCGAGTGTACCAACTCGCTCTGGGGTATCAATTCGCTTCCATCATTCCGTCATTCACTCGTGTTCAGAGATTTTTTAGAAAGTGCTGCTTAAACTTTCGGTTCGCGCGATCCGCAGAGCGAAGCATCAGCTGATCGCCGTGGACCTCAAACGCAAAAATTTGCGACGCAACCTGCGCAACCTGCGCACCCTGAGAATTCTGCTCTACTGCTGCGTCCTCCGGCGCCGCGGGCACTGATATTCTAAACGTTGTTCCGTCCTTGGGCACGCACTTGAGCCCTCGTTTCTGTGTGATGATTTCAATGACAAATTTGCGGTCGCGGACAATGATGCCTTTGATGCCAACGCGGCCAGCACAGCGACTGCGAACAACTTCTGCCGTCGCACCATGCAGTTCTGCGCTGGCAAGTTTCGCCGCAGCGCCCGTTCCACCAGTGTAGATCTCTCGACCGAGAAGCTCGCGAGCGTAGCCTGCCCACAGCTGATTCAAACCTGCGTAAATGTCGTATGACTGTCCTGTAGCGGGCACATCGTGGAGGCCAAGATTGCGCCGCTGACGGGAGGACAAAGGCTTCGGTCGTTGTTTCTCCCTTTCTTTCTTCTCTAGGCGCGCTTTTCGCCGTGCATTGCGCGCATTCAGAGCAGATGGTGGTGGAGAGGATCGTCGTAGATGCAGTGTGCGATGCTGAATTTTTTCGCCAAATATGCGGTTGACAGAGTCTGGTGGGTGGGCGCGGGCCAGCAGCTCCTGCGTGAGGGCGTGAGGTACCGCCATGCTCGAAATGCTTTCGAAATAGATTCACAGCCGCGGCTCGGGGAAACTAATGCTGTCAAGAGAAGATGTGTTGAATTGTTGAGGAAGTGGACGGTTAATGCAGCCCAAACTATTGGCTAGGCGGAGGCCAGTGGGAAAAAAAGTTGGATCAACCTAGAGTAGCCGGCTTGCAAGTGGCCTCACATGGCCTCGGCAGAATCGCCTTTGCCCCACCCCCGGACGTTAGTTAGGTCGCCCAGCTTCCCCAGCTCCTGCCAGCTTTCTCTAGTCCAGGCTGTCATCCCATTTTTCAAACCTCATGGATTGATTTCTGCTCGCTGATTGCTCTTGTGCCGCTTGAGCATTCTCCCGCTCTACTCCTGCGACGCCAACAGCCAACTTCGGCCTCGACTTTTACGCATCAGCAACTTCACAATGGCTGGCAGCGACGAGCCCCTCGATACTGCGAGCACCTCGGCCCCCGATCTGCAGATTCTGGGCGATGAGATCACTCTGCAGCCCGGCGGCTACCTTGAGCCAGAGAAAGGGGCAACCGAAGGGAAAGAGGAGGCTCTGATGAATCAATTTGCATCGTTTCGGTCCGAGCCATTGCAGTAAGTCGCACTCGGCTGTTGTCTGATCGTTCGTCATTATAGAGAGCCTAACATGTATAGATTCTTGCGCGAGGTTTCTCTCTATGTTTCTGGCCAGGGATGGCGCGCATACGATAATGTCATTGGACAACCAGTCTTCTACCCCGGGTTCACCCAGAACATGACTTCCATGGTCATGTCTGCACCGCTTCTCCAGGAACGCATCTCACAACTTGCAGAGAGCCGCGTCGCCGTTGAGGAAAAAGAAGGACTGCTGAACAAGAACGACAAAGACTACGCGACGAAGCGGACGCAACGCCGCGTCGCTCTTGAAAACTCCTTGCAAGAGGTTGCCGAAAAGCTTACCGACGAAATGATTTGCAAGATGGAAGGCAAGACTTTCATCCGCAGTGCCTACTACATGGTTACTCAACTGTTGACGAGAGCCTATCACCAAGGCATTCATGTCTCCAGCGAGGAGGTATTGCGTCTGCGCAAGGTGGCTGATCTTGCTGCCAAGAAGAAGCAAAGTATTGTGTTCCTTCCTAGTCACCGGTCACATGTTGACTACGTCAGTCTCCAGCTCATCTGCTACCGTCTTGGTTTGACTTTGCCCGTCGTGGTGGCTGGCGATAACCTCAACTTTCCTCTTGTCGGAAACTTCCTGCAGCACGCAGGCGCCATGTGGATCCGTCGCTCATTTGGTGATGACGCTCTTTACTCGACTCTGGTTCAGTCATACATAGATACATTGCTCCAGCAGGGATACAACTTTGAGTGCTTCATTGAAGGAGGTCGATCGCGCACTGGAAAGCTTCTCCCACCTAAATTTGGTATATTAAGCTTCGTCCTGGACTCAATTCTGTCAGGCCGTGTGGAAGACACCATCATCTGCCCTGTCAGCACGCAGTACGACAAGGTTATCGAGACGGAGGGGTACGTCACCGAGCTGCTGGGTGTCCCCAAGAAGAAAGAGAACCTTGCCGACTTTCTCTCTGGAGGCTCTTCCGTGCTGTCTTTGAAGCTCGGCCGCGTTGACGTGCGATTCCACGAACCCTGGAGTCTACGAAAATTCATTGATGAGCAGCTCACAAAGATCCCCAATGTCCCGCGTGGCTTGGACACGGATCATCGCAATCCGGCTGTCAGGGCGGTCCGGGAAAAGATCCTGAGAACTCTCGGATACAAAGTCCTCGGAGACATCAACGCCGTCTCTGTTGTTATGCCTACTGCTCTGATCGGTACAGTTCTTCTTACTCTGCGTGGACGCGGCGTAGGTAAGCAAGAACTCACTCGTCGCGTTGAGTGGCTCACGGCTCGAGTTAGAGCCAAGGGTGGTCGCGTTGCGCACTTTGGTAACGCGCCGCTTTCGGAAATCGTTGACCGAGGCCTGGAGGTTCTTGGAAAAGACTTGGTCGGCGTGGTAGACGGACTTGCTGAGCCTACCTACTATGCCGTTGATCGCTTCCAGCTTTCTTTCTACCGCAACATGACGATTCATCTCTTTATTTACGAAGCTCTTGTCAGCGCTGCCATGTACACACGCGTCAAGCGTGGTGGCGGCCCGACAATGCAGGTCATCGAATTCGAGGAGCTCAAGTCGACAGTCTTCTTCCTATCCTCCCTTTTCCGCGGCGAATTTATCTTTGGCAGTGCGGGCCTTGATGCCAACTTGGACAAGACACTCAAGGGACTAGAGGCTGACCGCGTGGTGCAATTGACAAAGGACGACAAGGGAAATGTCGTTCAGGTCGGCCTTTCAGATGAAGAGCGAAGAGCAGGGCGGGAGAATTATGATTTCTACTGCTTTCTGATCTGGCCCTTTATTGAAGCTAGTTGGTTGGCCGCAGTGTCATTAATGGGATTATGCCCACCTGGTGACGCTAGCGACGTATGGGTTGAACAGTCCAAAGCGCAGAACAGTGCTCAGCTTGTAAGTGGTATTGCCAATCGCTGTTCTTTTGATATCACCACTAACAATCGCGTAGCTTGGAAAGACTCTCTACCATCAAGGCGACTTGTCCTATTTCGAAGCTGTGAACAAGGAAACGCTCAAGAACTCATATACCCGGTTTGAGGAGGACCAAATGGTTCATGTTGTTAAAGCCAAGGACTCCAAGGTTCCCCCGCGCATGCAGCTAGATCCAACCTGGAGACCTCCGCGAGACCCTAAAACCGGCGCTTTGCTAGCAGAAGGCAAGCTCTGGGACTTTACGGAGAAGATTGCCAGCTGTCGTCGAGAGGGTAAGAATCGCAGAGATGGTGCGACTGTCAGCAGTCGCGTGTTGCGGCTCACAGACGAACTCGGTCGCAAGCTGTTTGAGCAGGCCGAGGAAGGCGCCAAAGCCGGCAAGCACAAGATCCCCAGCCGACTGAGCCAGGAGGAAAAGGAGACACTGCACAAGTCTGTTGGCGAGGCGCGTCGCCGCAGAAAGATGCGCAACAAGCCGAACCTGTAAGATGTCGCATTGTGCTTGGGACTTGCCGTAGTGAAAGTCGTGACACTGGTTGGGGGGCGCAACGGTTGTTTGTTGCAGGTGTACATTACTGATTCTGTCGTTTGGGCCGCTCATTTGTCCGGCTTTATTGCATTGCGTAATATATTTTGAATATATACCACGGCAATCTAGATGCCGATATGCAAAATGACTTTTGTCAGCATCCCCAGCAGTCTGCGTCTATGCTTTTGTAGGCTCCAAGATGATGTTGTCTATTAATCTTACGGCCGGCCCTCCAGCATGCCCAACATCCTCCCCAGGGACAGCCTCCTCCAGCGGAAGCATTTTGATGGCGCCGCTCAGCACCGCTCCACGCGCAGGGTCAATCACGTCAATCTCCTCCAGCGTGTCAGGATCCGACAAAGAAATATAGTCCACCTCAAACAGGACGCGCTGCGTCGGCGGCAGCCTCGCCTGCGCCTGGACCACGGCCGCGACGACCTCGCGCGCGGCGCCCAGAACCGCCGTGCGGTCCACAATACCGGCAGCGTATGAATTGGCGGCGGCCACGAGCGCGCGGTTCAGCACAATGCCGACCCTGCGGCGGCGGGTGCCGAGGTAGACGTTGCGCGAGCTCAGGGCCAGGCCGTCGCTCTCACGCTCCGTGGGGCAGACGACGACCTCTGTGGGCAGGATGAAATCGCGGACCATGCGGCGAATCACGACTGTCTGCTGCACGTCCTTTTGGCCAAAATAGACGCGCTCGGGCTGCACAATGTTGAAGAGCTTCATGCAGACGGTGGCGACGCCGCGGAAAAACGTGGGCCGGCTCGCGCCCTCGAGCACCTCGCCGACGGGTGTGACGCTGACGAAGCTGCCCTTGCTGTCGACGGCCTGCCCCGGGAAACCCGACGGGTACATGTCGGTCGTGGCCGGGGCAAAGACGGCCGAGATGCGGCCCAAGTTGGCGCCGTCGTCGGCGAGCGCGCGGTCGAGGCGGGCGAGGGCGGCGGTGTCGGCGTCCCACGTCACCGGGTACGAGGCCAGGTCCTCGCGGACGCCAAACTGCGCCGGGTTGACGTAGACGCTGACGACGACGTGGTGGTTCTCGCGCGCGGCGGCGCGAATCAGCGCCAGGTGGCCCTCGTGCAGCGCGCCCATGGTGGGCACGAGCCCGACGCTGTGCTGGCTCAGCGTGTGCGGCTTGCGCCAGCGTCGGACGGCGTCGACGGTGCGCAGGACGCGTATCGACGTCGAGGGTAGCTTTTCAAAATATGATGATGGCGAAGAGGAGGAGGATGATGTTGAGCATACTGTCTGGGCGAATATTCGGCTTCGGACGGCGGGGGAGGCTGCGCGCGCCATGAGCTGGCGGCGGTCGAGGGCAGCAAACATGGTGGGGGGGGAGTGTCGGTTTTCGCACCGTTGCGGACGGGAGAGGAGAAAAGAGAAGAGCAAAGTTTGTCGAAACTAGGTCAGTGGGGGAATTGGTGTATTTGTATGCCCGGAATCAAGCCACATGGTCCATTGCTTTTCTTTCTGGGGAGCAATTCGACGGGCAAAAAATGATCGTGACGATATCTGCCGCGGAGTTTTGGGGATGGGCGTTGAGCTATGGAGAGCTTCAGGATGACTCAGCGACTTGCTGTCTCTACTATTAATAGCAACCTGTTACTTTTGACGCGCTCCCATCTCGAACACCCATTATTGAAACAATTGTCTTGCTCTCCAAACGTGTAACAATTTTTGTGCGTGTGCCATCTACTTCTCTAGTTCCAAAAACGCTCTCACTTGACCGAGAACTCGCCCTTGCAGGCTTGAGTGAGAGGCGGCGACCAAACCCCAGTTGCCAGACAACCGCCTTCCCGTCCCGAAATCGACCTCTTTGCCGTCAAGGTCGGTTGCAACGCCGCCAGCTTCTCGAAGAATCAAGTGCGCGCCTGCATAGTCCCAAATATAGTCCTCCGGATCCTCTTCGCCTCCGTCCACTCTGGGAGGCGGGATTCTCACTTGCACGTTGTTGCAGCTGGCTTTTCCTAGAGCCAAGATGACGAGCCTGACCTGAGTTGACCAGACCTCCGTTCCGGGAAACGGGGCGCAACCGAGGCGCTTTGCAAGCTGCTTAGCCTTGTTGAGATGGTATGCCTCGCCGGACATGGAATCCACAAAGTTGAAATGCGAGTACTGGATGGAAGATGCTTCGTCTTGAGGTTGCGACCGACGACGGGATGGTATAAACTGCCCAGGAGGGAGCTCGCCGGCGCCAACTGGTTGTACAAGCACGCCTTGATCACCGTAAACAGCAGACACGATGAATCCATAGCCCTCGTCATCGGTGGGCACGCTTTCGAGGTGATCCAAGTCGAGCGCAAGATTCGGGCAGCCCACCACACCGAGTACTTCTTTTCCGTCTTGAATGAGCGCAACCGCGACAGCATACTGGCCGCTTTCGATAAAAGTCGCCGTGCCGTCAATCGGATCCATGACCCACGTCCGCCCGTGCCGCCCACCGTTGCCGAGGCCGCCGCGGTCAATCAACTCCATCATTTCCTCCGGCGAGCCAGGCGGCCGCGTCAGTGTCGCAGCTTGGCTTGCTGCTGCTCCCGGCCAGGCCTCGGTGGACGACACCAGCTCCCAGACCTGCCGGCAAAGGACAGCGTCTTGGCGGAGCGCGGCCGCGCTCTCCTCGCCCAGGAAGCCGTCGGCGGGAAAAGCCTGGCTCAGGGTGCCGATGAGGAGCGCCTGCACTGCGAAATCGGCAACCGTGACGGGAGTAGAATCCTTCTTGGACACATGCTTGATTGATCGCATGACGGACTTTGTGAGCACAGAAGCATAGTGAACGGCAGCGGAAGCAATACGCCGCTCCTCGGCGTACATCGTGGACCCCATAGTCGGTGATTTGTTCGGAGGGCTGAAAGCTGGGCTCTGCAACTTGTAAATGGAGGTTTCAGCAACGCTTGGAACTTGAGACCATGTCCTAGACTGATGCTGCAGAATTTGACAGAGGCCTAGCATCCCTTTTTTTTATTTCTCTTAGTCCTCAGAATCCCCTCTGTCTCAATACAGTTGTTCGGAGGCATTTTCAGCATATTCCACTTATATTGCCCACAGCCTAGCCGTTTCGGGGCAATGCTTCTCAATCAACGCGTGCAACCGCCCGCTCATGTAGATGCAAGAACTCTGATGCAGCTCCGTGGTCATGTATGACAAGCTAAGCCCGATAAATGTTATCAGGCATTTGTGGTTTTCAAAGCAAATGGAGAGCCATGGTGCTCCCCGAACGTGAAGGTGTCATGCTAGGCAGCTGGAGTTGCTGGAGAAGCCCAGCATTGGGCTCTAACGGCCGGTGAATGGATCAACGCCCAGAATAGGTGCTGTGACTTGTCCGATGCGGATCAAGTAGCGGAATCATCCGAATGTTTTTGCCGATGAAAAATCAAGGCGAGAGATATCGTGGGGTGTTATACTTGGTGATGCTGTTCGTCTCTTGTGGGGGGCGACAGGCTATTCAGAGGCCACGCTGTGCGGCCACTTGTAGCTCATTTGTGCCCAAATTCACGACAGACACATGTGCGGAGCAGATTGCAGAGGCGTCTCCGAATATTTTCATTTAATCTTTGTTTTGAATCGAGTCCAGTTTATTCTGTTTCTTGACCCTTTGCAGACTATGCTTAGAGAAGCTAGCTAATGTTGGCCGGAGGAGAACGGAGATAGCGAGCTTATTAAAAAGTGGCTGGCGCTGCATGCACCTTGGACGAGTTTGATTTTGACTAGCTGTTACTCACATCTGTCATCTGCGATAATAAGTTAGTAAAAAAAATAAAAAAAAATTACCTATCCAATTAAGCGAGGACCAAGAATAACACAACTGTAGCACTAAACCTGCTACACTTTTACACTTGGCGACAATAAACTGCCGTCAGGGTCTTGCGCTGGCGTATCTTGCTCTCTTCGCTAATGAGTCAGCGAATTACTTCTAATCTTTTTGCATTGATTTTTAAGCAAGTCCGCATCGCAGTCAGAGCGTATGCGGAGCTTCACCCGCGAAACAGAACTCGGTGCGGGCAGGGTAGGTTGTGTGTGTGTGTGGATGGCGACATGCGCTAAAGCTGCCAGCCTCATCAGGCCGGCAACATCAGCCCAGAACGAGGTCTGACGGTCGGCTTATTACTAGAACGGTTTCGACTGAAACTTGGGCTGCTGAGTCGGGGCCGACTCGCAAGCTCCGTGACAAGGTCCGGACTTGCCCCTCCATCATCAATCAGCCTTACGGGTTATTCAGCCAAATGTCCGCAAGCTCCGACAAGAACAGCTGAAGCTTGTCCACTAAGTGCTCCACCATTTGGAAAGGGAAGAGGCTCTAGAAAGTAAGAAGTAAAAGCCTTGTTTTTGTTGAGTATTCGACTCGACGGCTGAGGGAAGCTCATGTTTTTTTTTTTTTCTTTTTTTTTTTTGGAGCGAGATGAGATTCACGTGAGAGCAACGTTTGCTACGGGACTTGTGTAACTTTGAAAGCAAATCGTTTTTCATCTTGTTATCCTATTCAGATGATCGAAAAGCTGCGCCCGCCGCAAGATGTGCAAAGTAGTGCACGAGCTAACGAGTTCTCGCACGTGAAGCCTTTGCCAGTAGATACCTAGGCGTATGAATCACAAGTTGAACATGACGAAATCGGGCTGCGGAGTGGTTTCATGCCCTTTCCACGTGCTGAGCAGCACATGCAGCCCATCTTCTTTGGCTCGTTCCCAAAAGTAGCCGCGAAGAGCTTGCACCCATTCGGCCATAACGTGCGGACCCTAATACTACCTTACGCCTAGCATAACGCGTTGAACTTGTGGGCTCTCGCTGGCGCGCCAATTGGCGGAGCTTTGCAGGCCGATTTCAGCCATGACTATCTCTGTTATTGCGGCCCCGCCCACCGTGAATCCCCATAGAGGGTTGTTGGCTGGCTGGCTGGCGGAGTTGGGTGGACTTGGAGCACGGTTCTCGGGTTCGCAAGTCGTTTTGGCCTAAAGACCGGTCCAAAGCTGCCTGTAACTTTTTTTTTTTTTTTGGAGCTGGCTAAAAGGGGAGATTGCCGCAGAATATCTCTCCGCGTTATGTTTGAGGCCAGGGAGAGTTTGATCTCGTCAGATTAAAAAGTGCACTTTTGTATATTTAAGGCTGTTGTTGTCCCTTTTGCGTTTCCGGATTCAGCCAACATCTCAAATCTTTTCACAGGTTCTCTTCATTCATTTTCAAAGAAGTTTGGGCAGAGCATTGAGAAAACTGTGGCAGGCATAATGGCTTCGGCACCACCAAACAACCTCGAGGTGCCCCGCGAACAACCGGGTTGGGCAACCTCGACCACATCAACCCTCGCCGGTGACGACCACGCCCTCGAGAAAAATGTTCCCTACGCCAGCTCTGTTGGCGTCGGTGGCGACGGCAAGACGGAGCTTGACAGTGAAAAAGCTGTAGCGCAGCCTGGCGAGCCGAGTGAAGATGAATACCCTTCCGGCACCAAGCTCGCCTTTATCGTCGTCGCCCTCGTCCTCGCCATTTTCCTCCTCGCTCTCGACATGGTCAGTTGTTTTTTTTTTTTTTTTTTTTTTTTTCTTCAAATGCTCCCCCCAACTATCTAACCAGACACACAAAAAAAAAAACTAACTTTCTACCTTTTATTAGACCATTGTCGCTACTGCCATTCCCAAAATCACAGAAGAGTTTCAAGGTTTGGACAAGGTCGGTTGGTACGGCGCCGCCTTCTTCATGACTGTTGGCGCTTTCCAGTCCACCTGGGGTAAAATCTACAAGTATTTCCCGCTCAAAGCCTCCTTTCTCATTGCCATTCTCATCTTCGAGGTTGGCTCCGTCATTTGCGGCGCCGCCCCCAACGCCGAGGCTCTCATCACGGGCCGTGCCATTGCCGGTCTTGGCGCGGCGGGACTCGGAGCCGGCGCCTACACCATCATTGCCTTTTCCGCGCCGCCCAAGAAGCGACCCGCCTTTACCGGCATCCTCGGCGCCTCGTACGGCCTGGCCAGCGTCATTGGCCCCTTGCTGGGCGGCGCTTTTACCGACAATGTCTCTTGGCGCTGGTGCTTCTACATTAACCTGCCCATCGGTGCCGTTTCCGCCGGCGTCATCTTTCTCTTCTTTCAGACTCCTCGCGCGGCGGTCCCGGAACAGGCCCCCCTCAAGGAAAAAATTCTGCAGACGGACCCTCTGGGCGTCGTTCTCATGATGGGTGCCACCATTACCTACATCCTCGCTGTCCAGTATGGCGGATCTGCCCACGCCTGGAACTCTTCGACCGTCATTGGTCTGCTTGTCGGCTTTGTCGCCATCATCGGTGCTTGGGTCGCACTTCAGTACTTTCAGGGTGAGCGATCCATGGTGTCGCCTCACCTCGTCAAGAACCGCGCCCTCGTCGTCGCCATGATTTACAGCTTCATCTTTGCCGGCGGCTTCTTCGCCGCCATCTACTATATCCCAGTGTACTTTCAGTCAGTGCACAACGCCAGCCCGACTATGAGCGGCGTGCGCAACCTGCCCTTCATCATTGCAGTCACTATTGCTACCATTGCTAGCGGTGCCATTGTGTCTGCTACCGGCTACTACCAGCCTCTTCTCATCGGCGGCGGTGCCGTCGCCACCATCGGCGCGGGACTGCTCTTCCTCTTCAACGTCAACACCTCAACCGGCACCTGGATTGGCTACCAGATCGTCGCCGGCGCCGGCTGGGGCGCTGCCTTTCAGGTTCCCATGATTATTGTCCAGGGTACGGTCGAGGCCAAGGATCTCGCCTCCGCTACCGGGATGCTCCTGTTCTTCCAGGGCCTCGGCGGAGCTTTCCTCGTCTCCGCTGCCCAGTCTGCCTTCCTGAACCAGATGGTCAGCTATGTTGTGCGACACGCCCCCGAAATTGACAAGGGCACTCTCATCCTGACTGGCGCCACCAACATTCGACAAGCTTTCCCTGCCGACCAGATCCCCGTCGTCATTGACGGGTACATGCACGGTCTCAAGGTTGTCTTTGCACTCTGCATTGCGGCTACTGGCGTGGCCACCCTGGTCAGTCTCTTTACTCGCTGGACGAAGCTCAAGCAGGGCGCTGGTGCTGGTGGTATGGCCTAGGCGCTGTCCAAAAATTGAAGACTTTGGCAAGCTGGACTTTGCTCTCATCTCACGGCGTTTTGTTTTTTTTTTTTTTTTGGCTCAAGTTGTTCTGAAATAGATGGCCCATAGGGAGGCGCTTAATACATATTTAATAAAGATGTAATGATTTTGCGGCAAACAAACAGATGCATGCTATGTTGAGCAAGGAAGAAAGAAAACATGTCAAGTGAAGAGTGCTTTGGTACTTGGAGCAAAGGTTCCTGCTATTGATGAAGGTTGCTATAACTGATAGATCACTCGGCATAGCTGAGCCAAAAAAGCCGTCGGCATTTCCAGTCGTGACAACTAAACATGTGGCTCAAACCGCCAAGAGGGACCGTGTTAATACAGCGGCTAAGCTTAGTTTGCAACTCTATTCCTCGGATGCCGTTTATAGCTTGGCCCTT